TATCTTCTATAGTCTATACCCAGTCTATATCGCGAAATTCATCTCAGATTGGTAAAATTAACTGTTTAAATAATATACAGTCTTGTTTACTTAGATACCCATCTTAAAAGGTTTGGGATGAGATGCTTTGTGAAGGAACTTACTTTGAAATTAGGTTTACATTCACTCTCCTTCAGACATAAACTTAACGATGCCCAATTTGTACATAAATCCAGTGGCGTATGCTGCGTATGCTTATCCCCTGAAAATTCTTAAACAATAACAACATTTTCACTAATAAATCATTTTCAGATAAAATTTGTCGAAAAACAAATTTTTCAGTCATTCCACTCAAAAATACATAGTTTAAATGGGTCTAAAAGTCCTATGTCCCCTATTTTGTAATACTCGGCCTTGATTCAGAATTTTTGTTTCAATTTTGATACCTACTGAATCTAAAATTTGGCGTTTATAATTTGAATTTTGAATAATAAATAAATAAATTTACTCTTAGCTGTAGATAATTTTCCGTGATCAATTAATCAATTAATCAAATAATTAATTGTTATAAAATGTACAAAAATATTTATTATATTGTACCTATTTTATTAATTATTCTTAGTAGGTAAAATCTATATTGTAACAACTATTTCACTCTATTTCCCTAAATGAGCGTTAATAAACATATTATTAATATATGTTTTAATGTCTTCAATATTTGAATTTTACAAAGCGCATAATTGCATAAAATATTGACTTGACTTTTTTTGTTTTACTAAATATTTTTGATATTTTTTAATTGCTGTAATAGCAACTTATATAGAGCGCATTATATATGTTAAATGTTCAAGCTTTTTGACTTGAAAAAAACATATTACCAGTTATCGCACATTAATTGATACAATTTCCAATGTCTATAAAATCCTAGTAAAATTATATTAGGTACGTCTAAAAAATGTTAATACTGCAAATATTTAGTTTTAAACTAGCTAGGTTGGTATATCTTATATCTATGGTTATTCATCTAAAAACTATAACAAAAAATAAATAATTGTCATTACCGACCGGGAGCTATGTATTAGTTGTAAATGATTATTAGTGTGAGTGAAATGAAATGCTGGTATATTCTCTCGTACGCGCATGGACATGTTAATAAGTCGATAACCATATCCATATCCCTACACGAATTTCACAAAAACATACATTTGTTTTGAAAAAATGAAAGTTCGTTAACGTTGTCTGATTTTGATTCTGAAAAAAATATTTAAATTCCGCAGAAAAATGTCTGTAGATCGTACGAAACATTTTCCGTTTTTAATATTGATTTTAATTTTAATTATGATTCGAAAAAGTTGATATCTTCAAGTTTTCAATCACGGTTCACAATTATATAAAATTTAATTTTTACAAAGTGCTTCGTAAGATCTATAGACAATTTCCTTGTGAGTTCAAATTTTTTTTCAGAATCAAAATCGGACAACGTTAACTTACTTTAATTTTGTCAATACTTTAGGTATTTTCAGCTAAAATGGACGGCAGTAGAGAGGCCCTTTAATGTTAATACATAGATACCTGCATAACTTAACTGCTATATTCAAACTACTTCTAAGCCCAAAAGACTTGGTACACTTTGTTTTGATTCATATTTGTTTGTAACTTGTATAATGATCATGAACACAAGTATGAATAAGATATTTATTTTTGTATGCTAGAATTAGAACATTTTTTTTATATTGTCTATAAAAATTAAATATACCAGTCTTTGTAAATTTGTTCTGTTCTATAGAGATTTGGTAGTTTTAGTTTATATTATTCAATTAGTTGGTTTATAGTGGTTTTTAACTTAATGAAATGTGAATTATAGGTCCCTCCCCAAATTTCAATAACAAAAGTAATTACTGATTGAACAAAGGCAAGAATGCAAGATATATTATTAATCGTAGTTTATGTTAGTCCAATATATTTCTAATGTTTCTGAATGTATAAAAGTTTTTTGTTGTAATTGAAACAACATAATCAGTATGTATTTTCCATTTTAATTGATTATACAAGTGCAAACCTGAGTATTTAGTACAAAAAAAACATATTTTCTCTAAAACTGCAAACTGTCACATTTCCTAACTTTTGATTTAAAAAAAAATTAAAACCACATATCCTGAAAAATTAACATTTTACAGATATCAGCTTCTCTCTCTTTACCACAGAATTGTATGGTAGATTAATATTATAATTTTTAGTAAGTCCATAAAAGTTTGAAAAATATAATATAATAATACATGAGAATTCTGATTATGTTTAAGACTGTTTTAATGCGGTTGTATGATTATAGAATTATTTACCAAATACCAAATATATGATAAGTTTTAAATATCTCTATTTTACCATGTGAAAACCGCACAAACAAATCATATTTCGTGGGAACTCGGATAAAATCATAAATAGAGATTAATATTATTAATAATAATATATTATTATTATTTATTTATTTATTTTAAAATTGAGTATATTAAATACGTATTATATTATGATATATATTAAGAAATATTTTGAAACACTACATTTCATATTTTTACCGTCACAATTTAATGAAAAACTGTAGGCCCTGAAGCTCCCTATTTTTACAGTTGGTCTTATGATCATAGATTACACATTTACACAAAGAGCTACATTGCTCTCCACACACCCCGTTCAACTATTACAATATATTTGATAATGGCTTTGTAGCGTAGGTACATACTATATATTAATTAATATAAAATAAGAACTTATTAACCATTAATAATGAGGGTGCGCTCCAAGTCCAAATTATATTACTCCTATGTTCATATTTTATCCACCAATTGGTAATATATTTATTATTTTGACGTTATAATAATTAACGTAAATGCATATAAAAATAATATAATATAATATATAAGTCCTCTTAAAATGCATAAATATAAATCGAATGTCAATATTATACCTATGCGTAATTTAATAGTATAATACTGATAGTAGGTACGTAGCGACTAACGGTTAAGATCGTTGAAAACCTCTAAGAACTAAATTTTCTTTTAGACATTCGGAAATAATCAAAAATATACAGTAAAAATAGGGCGTTTTAAATAAAAATTAAAAAAAAAATCAACTAATGATGAGGTACTAAATGATATTAATATAAATAATGATAATTTAATTCATTTTTTATAAATACTTTTGACAGTTGGTGCTATTTATTTTTAAGATGATGCCTTACTCGAATCCGTCTATTAACGCATAACATACCAAATTATACATTTTTACTTTCAGAATAATCCATTTTACTCTGTTTATTTAGTACAATAATGAATTGACGTATTAAATTTACATGTAAAAATATCATAAAGGACCACCACTTAGGCTTTTTGATAATTTTATTTTATTATACCTATTTAAGTTGTTACTTGTTAGTAGTTTAAAATGTATAAACAATTGACAATTTTATTCATAACTTGCTTCAAAATTAAAATATCTTGAAAAGCTTACATGGGGCCCTTTATAATAATTTTACATTTAAATTTGATGATAAGTCATTTCACGCTAGTATTAAAAATAGTAAAATCGAATCCATTTATAATAGATTCTTTTTTTTGAAAATTTGTTGTATATGTATGTGAAGACAAAACGTGTTGGTACAATACGTTGTCTTCATTTGATGTATATTCGTTGGATATTTCTTTAGCCACCTGTTGAATAATAAGTGTAGGTACATTATTTATTTTTACGTAAACACTTTTTTTTTAAATATTATTTTTAGTACACCTGTATGGCTGTATATCTACACTTTAATTATTTTTATTTAGTAAAATTATTATATAAAAAGATACGTAACATTTTGATGATCACTCATCCACGAACGTGACGCTGAATAATCTCATTTTGTCATTATGGCGCTCTGAATCGTATTAATTACTAAAGCATTTACATTTTACATTATACACGGACAACAGACATAGTATTGTTATATAAATAAAATATAAAAGTGTATATTTGTATATTAGGTATATTGTATCAATTTGTAAAAAAAAAAAAAATAAAATTCCAAACAGATTGTTATACATTTCAGGATTATAAGCTAAAATAACTATTTTTTTATTTCATAATAACTATACTTTTATTATTCGTGTAACTGGTAACTTTTTAAACTATCAACAGATTATTTTCAAGTAGGTACCTTAATAAAAAAAAGTCATATACCTACAACTTATCTACTTTAGCTTTACATTTTTATCAGAAATAACTAAAACATTTTTATCTGAGGGCTTAAAAGTTATAAGGAGTTATCACTTATCAGTATATTTTCAGATTTCTTAAACAGATATTTTATGCACACATTCATACACAATTTAAAATCATAGAGTTCGCATTTTTACTATAAATGTTGATCTGTATTGTTTCTATACTTCTTTCATCTTTCAATTATATTACAAGTTAAGACAATACACATAATTGATAATCGTAACATTATATAGTAATAAATAACTAATTTTATAATAATTGGGTATTGTGTAAATATAATATTATATTGTTATCTTAATAGTACATATATAATATATGAGTTCAAAAATATAATTTGTGGTTTTATTAAGGCGCTATATTGCTCTGGCCTTGGGCGTTGTAATTTTAAAGTTCGTTAATTTCAATAATAAATTGTGGGCCGTTTGATAGAGTAGGACAGATTTATTATCGGAGGAGATGCGCATTCTAGTAGTGATTGTAGAAAACCGCAGTTCCCAGACAAGGACGGTGGTCGCGGAGTATATCGCGTGCATATATATAGGCGTTCGTTTGACGCCAGTGACATCATTGTTATTTTGTCTCGTTCCGGCAGTGCGTGTTTTTCGTACGACCGTTACACACGTCCATCGCCCATCGTATTTATAATAATTTTCGATTGCATTCACAAGCCATTTCCAACGATCCTTTTCGTCCGATATAACCAATAGTGTTATACACACTTCGCACGGCGACCACCACAGTTTCGTTCGAGTTATAGAAAAAAAATGCCTTCCGATAACAAGAGTAACAGCAAGCCGACGGCTGCAGACAGTAAGGGTGGTAGTAAACCGACGACTCCGGAAAATAAGAGTACTACAAAAACGCCGACCGCGGACAATAAGAGTAGTAGTAAGCCGACGACTTCGGTTAATAAGACTAATAGTAAGACGACGGCTGCAAACAACAAGTATGTGCTAAAATAATATAAAATATTATATTATATGCTATCGTCGATAATATAAATTGGCTTTTATATTTTTTAGCCGTGATGGAGGCAAACCTCCACGTGGTATTATCGTCCGCTTTGTATATACATATACATAATATATTATAATAAACAATGATGTTATATTTTAAGTAAAATAATGAATTATTATATTTTGATTGTTCAGTACTCGTGTCACAGCCCAAAGGGCTTTAATATTTTGTTCATATGTATTACATTATATAGGTAGATATATTAAGTATAAAAGTACTCAACTATTTTCGGTTACTTTATAATTTTATGTTGGTCATTTTTCGTATTAGAGTTATAGATTTGATCCATTGTCGGGCGCCGCTTGTATACATTTAAGTAAGGGGGAGATAATAATAAATTACCCTAAAATAAATCTTCAGCAACCATTTTGAAAATGTCAAAGGACAGATGTTATTTCAATAAAAAGGACATCAAGGCGGTGGTTATACGAAATCATAGGGTAGCGAAATTTTTTTGGAATTTAGTTACATTTTGTATTGCTCGAATTATTGCGTGGAAAAATATTTTTTAATAAATTCTGCATTTTGTCATTATGATTAAACAAACGATGTTAAAAATAGGTAGGTACTTAATACAATATAGAATTGGCTATATTGGGTATCATTTTGTTTTAATGAAATCCAATTGTTCACCTTTATCAGCATTTTAATTGATTATAATCATAATTAATACAACTATACAACCACATCAAAAAGCAACATTAAGTCGTGAATTAAAATTTAACCTATTCTACCTAACTTCTATATAAATATAATTTCAAAACACAGTTGTAAAAAAAATGTTTCCTTAATTACTCACAAATAGTTTATTTCGACCATTAAAATGTTTTACATTATATTTGAATATTTGATGCGATATGCAGTATTAAAATATGGTATATATAGGTATGTACGCATAAAGAAGATTTTAATATCCAAACACATTAAAAATAGCAAACTATCCATGGATGGCTCATATATTATTCATAATTTTTGTAATTAAGGTGATTAATGTATAAAATAAAAATAATGGGTGACATTATTTTAGTAAAATTATTTTGTCAAACAATAATAGTTTTAAACACATTTCGAGGTGCATCGTGAAACAATAATAATAGTAGTTTTGCATGTTTTTGTGAAGTCTAACAAAGAAACTATTTGTAATTTTTGGTTAAACGGTTGTTTTAATTATTTCTTTTCGATATTTATAATTCAGCGAACATTTTTATCCTGGTTCATTATTACTCGAAATTTAATACTGATGACATTATATCTTGTAACTAGAAATTCGTATGAAATTGTTCTCCGTGGCAATTGAAAAAATTATATTTATTCGATCAATTCCGTTTTTCTTTTTGTGTTTGTTTAGATCTGAGAATAGTTTAAATCATATTTATGATGAGTATAATATAGCTAGTTGTTGTGTTTGTATTGTATATTGTTCAATTTAACATGATCACAATTCACAGTTCACATAGGTACTCCATGTAAAATATAAGTTCTGTGCTTTCACTCGATAGTATAATATGCGGTTTGTTTGTCTCGGGTTAAATTTCGCAGCTGAGGTTAGCATTCATTGCTGATCTTCGGTTTTCAGATTATAACTTATCAATGTAATTGAATTTTTTGGTCAATTAGTAATAAAAAATGAATTAATATATGTAATATGTATAATATATTTAGGTGTACTCATATTTATTAAGCATTTTTATTCAAAATAAGCTCATTAAATTAAATGATTTTCAATCAGTTCATATTTTGCATCACATGATGATCACTAAACATTAAAAAATACATACATTCCGATTCATCGAAACAAATTCGTATTTTATATTTTTTTAGTTAATTCATAATAGTAATTTTATAAATTTCTGCTAGTCACTACTATATATTATTCTATACCTAAAAATTATAGTAACAATTATATAATGGAATGTTTTAATTCGTGTATTCTAGAAAGTTTTTCGTTTATTTAAATTTATTTCTATTGCTTTTTCATTTTATATTTTCTTTGTTATAGGTGCCTACCTATAATTATTAAAAATAAAAAAACATCGTCCTTGTGAATAAAATAGCAACAATACAATATTATGTAATAGATTTTAATCTATTCAATATTGTTTCTATATTTTATACTCCGGGAGTCGATTTAAATTTAATAAAACTCTATCAAAGTTAATCGCGATGTTCGATAAAATATCCATTTCGATGTATTTTTATCGATCATCGTACAGAATACACTGATGGTATCTCTAATGTATGTTATTACGTTTTCACGTGCTATTGTTTCCTTTCACTATTACTTTGTTATATTTCTGTTTGTGAATTATGTATTTTCACAGGGAGCTTGTTATTTTTTGGTCAGCTAATATAACCATATAATTTAGATAATAAAATATAGTATATATATTCACTGCTCATGGGCGTATTCACTGGGTGACATGGAGGATAGATCCCCCCCATATCACGGGGTGATATAAAGGATGGATCTCCCCCCCCCATAAACTTGGTTTTTTTTTATATAATATTAATGCGGGAGGCACTAGTGCACTACCCTGAGATTTATCTTAGCAACATTAAGTATATCCCCCCTACCCAATGAAAGTCCACGCCACTGCAGGAACTACTCTTTAAGTACTTATATTACTATATACGTTATAGTTTATTTAAACAGATTACATAATATGTGATTGTATATTACGAATAATTGCTTAAAATCAAATTAAAACTTAGCAATAACAACTAACCTACAAACTTCGAATGGAAATCAAATATGAATCAGGAAACATATCGGCTCACAGATATGGAAAAAAAAGTAGTAGCGATATGGATACCAATTAGGTCAGCGGGGGATAAGAAATCGAACAGTGATATACTTAGATGCATATATATATATATATATAATGGTATAATTTCAGGAAATCATTAGTAAAACTATAATCTGCGGTCTTATTAAAAGTAAATGTACCGATTGAGGATACAGGAGTACGATGTTTACACCTTAATAACTATCAGCACTTTAAAAATCCCAAGTACATTTCCCGACCTCGCTATGATGGCACAACAAAATGTTTTTCAAAACTAATACACAGTATATTGCACTAAGTGTATTATACTGTTCTCCTCTATAATATGCTATGACATTTTGGTTGCTGTACGATGAATATACTGCTTCCATAATTTACTCTAAGTTAGTCCGCTCAAAACTTGTTTTGTGCCCAAAATACAGTGATGTGACGTACTCTTGAGGGATGTGGCAGTTATTTAATCTTAATAATTTCACTTAGAACTTTTTCATAAATAAAAATATCGTATAAGTCTGATATTACCTGGTTATGTTAAGCCGGCCGAAATACACTTTCTAAAACCAATTTTAATTTATGCAAATAATATTTTTATGTTATTTTTTAATAATTGAAATTATAGATTCTAAGTGAAGAGAAGAATGAAATAGTTTTAGTATTTGTATTTTTTTTTTCATCAGTTTAAATTCACGAAAATTTTCATAAAATATTGCACCGATAACCTGTTTTTGGAACCACTTTGTGTTCTTAATTTCTTATGGTACATGTCTCATTTTAAAAAGTTGAAAATTGATATTTGCTAATGTATTTTTATTTCCAATGAAAATCATAGATGTAACTAGAATCAACATTTTGTAAGGGCTTAAGTCTTTAATATCTTAATGTTAATTAAAAAAAATGTTTTATTTGAGACATACATTTTCGATAATTTATCGCATTTAATATTACACCTATAGCCATAGGTGCTAGGTGAATATGGTTATTGGTTAAATACTTTTTGTCCAGGGCTTTTATTTTTTGTTCATAATATAAAACAATATAATTCTACCACCAATAATTTACAAATAGTATTTTATTATTTATTAAAGTTGAATAATGATGGAATTTTTATACTGATTAAAACATATAAAAGGCTTGTACAGTAAATATATATGTAAACATAATTTTAAAGGGGACTAAAAATAGGGCTACCAAATTTTTTACCCCCTATATTCTAATTTCTATATTATAACTATGCATAGCTATTATTAGCCTACCACTTCTACGAGTGTTGACTACGCGTAAATCAAATTATGTTCAGTATAATAAATTACGGTGGATTTTGTCATCGGCAAATTAGACTTTTAAAAATTGTTTTTCCACCTTTATCCGAACTCCGAAGTAGAAATGTAGGACTTGTAGCTACATGTGGAGCTTGTGGCCGCTGTATTTTCAATTGGCTGGATTTCATTTTTAGAAATTCGGCGCCACTAATATATAATACAAGTAAACAATAATACTACATCGGATAGTATTCCATTTGTCTTTATTATAATTTATTGTTATTTTATTCGATTGTAAACCAATATAAGTAGTTATTTAAACTTACTTATATAATATTTAAAATATAACTAATTAATATACAATAGATATTAGTATTAAGATGTTATTTTTGATGAATTAAATCATAATATTAATACGACATTATCAAAAAAACGCTCTCCTAACAGCTTTTTAAAACGGAAAATAAAATGTGCTTATTTAGAACTATTTCTTACCGAGGAAAGGAGTCGACTCTAACTGAGTCCGCAGTGTGGGGTACATCTCAAATTTAAACGGGAACCTATCCACAGCTATCGCCTTTATAAAGTACCTATTTTCAAACAATAACTTGTAATTTTTCAAATCTCCAATTGATAGTACCTACTATATAATAATATGTAGGTACGCTTTTTCGACGGTATATAGGTGCACGAAATGCTTGCAGTTCTCAAAGCAGCGAAAGGTTCAATAATTATTAATTCAAAACGAAGAATAATGTTTTTTAACTTTGGTTATTATGAATATACCTATGTATTGTGTACATGATATTGGCTTATATACCTAGGTATATACATTATTTTAAAAATGTATCATAGGTATACATAATATATAACTTAACAGATTTAATAGTCCATTTTTTACGTGCATATATAGGTATAGGTACGTATTACGCGATTGAAATAGATAATTCGCTACGTGATTTAAAAATATTTAGTGTATAATTATGTATGTTTACTACTGTACTGCTGTTTAATATATATATATATATATATATAGTATTGTGTAATATTTGTTTGGGCAAAACATTTGTTTAAGCGGCAACTATTACCGTAATTATTAACTTTTATAATTTATTTAAATTCCAAATTATTATATCCTATGTACTTTAGACATAATTTCGACGATCATTTTTTTTACAGATTATCTTTGTCCTTCATCAATTATTAAAAACACAATCAATATAGGTTAACGATGACAATCTGCATTTTAAATGTAAAATCGATAAACAATACGTATTTTAAACAGAACAAACTTGCGTACGACGCGTAACCATCATAATTCAAACTACAGGCTAAAATACATATTATATTAAAAATATATAATATCTATATCGACGTTTTATTTTTGATATGGGCATAATGATATCATACAATTAAGAGAAGTCTTAACTTTTCGTTTTAGTAGTGTTTGTATAAATAAGGGAAGACACACCCTTAACGTCATACCTATATAATATGCTTTATTCATTTAATAGGGGCAAGAAGGTTCAAGCGCCCAACTCGCTGGAGGTTTACATAATTTAGGCTATCGTGCAGGAAATATATTGTTTCTTAATATTCTTGTGTAATATTAGTGAATCGATTTTTCAATGTTTGCTATTCATAATAACACTATATATATATACAGTACCGTACTGATTAATGTTTTTAAGTACCTAAGTATACACTTTTCACAAACCTACCGAATTTTTGAATTTAAAAAATCAGGATTTGTTTTTTCTACCGCATACCCCCCCCCCCTTCATCAAGACGTCGAAACTAGTTAGTTCGAATTTCTATTCGTGCTCAAAGTATCGAAAAAGATCGTTCAAATAACGACACTATTATTATGATGGACTCTCGCGATCATATCGAGCTATACGCGACGTGTGAATAATACTTTCGAAATTCAGTCTCGTTTTGGCGGAGTACACGCGCATAACGAAAAATACCTGTTTGTCTAACAAACGAACAAGTCGATTCGTTAAATAAAACAGTTAGTGGTTGTATAATAGTGTCCCATACAATTTGTGTATTCTAATTTATACTGAAATGGCAGTTTGTTGATAATGCGCGCAATTGGAATTTTGTTTATTTCTCCGCGGAAATTATATAACGTATAATATGAAATATACCAGGATTTTGACAAACGGATTTGTAACGACTTACGGGCGACCTAGAGGAAAAAACGCGGTGCTTGCTTCCTCCGGGCAGCGGGTTTATGCTGAATTTCACGTAAAACCTTCCAATTTTAATGAATCAAAATAAGGGATGATTGTATAGTCTACGATGGTATACTAACGTCGTTTTCTTTCGATATATACTTATAGCATATTATATAGGTATTTAAAGTAAAATATAATCCATAATAATTATATCTATCATATTATATTATATGTGTATGTGTAGGTATCTAAAAAGCACTTGAATAAAGCTTTGAAATCAATAGATCAAAAATCAAAATTGAAGTACAGATCGAGTTGTTGTCATTCGATATTCGAGAATACGCGATTTTATTCTAATTATATTGTATGAACCTTACATACCTACCTACGATTTTTCCATGTTGTCCATTGTAATTACCGGCAGTAACGGAAACAATACAATATGTCGCTGTATAGTGACATGATGACGTGCAAGTCTCTATAAGTAGGAAGAGAGGAGACACTGTGAATAGTTTACGGGTAGATGAGAGTAATATTGACAAGTTCTTAATTTTTATCTTGTGGACGGGCGACCGAACAGCATCCTTCAGTGTAAGTCCTGCAGTTTCATACCTATATACAGTATACATCCTTGAATGAAAAAAAATTACATAGATAATATGAAAGTCCGTCGACAAGTGCCTATCCGCGGAAGACCATTATACTATAATATGTATAATTATGGGATTCGATGAATTTAACGCAATTTAAGCACGAATCGCTGCAGTTGTAGCGTATATATTATATAAGTATATAATCATATTATAATTTATAACATTATATAATATGTTAAGGGGTGTAATGTGAACCCCCCTAGAGTCATCACTGATAGTGCTCGACTATACGGCGGTTACGACCTACCCGCAACTATACCGCTTTAAAAGCGATTTCATAAAATAATATATTTTATTCGAAACATTTCATTGTGCACATGCCCATACAATTAATTATTAACTCTGTTGACCGTGACACTTGAAGTGCAGCGAGTCCGCGCCCCGTTTCGGGCGTTTTACGAGTCTTTTCTTACCGGCATACGTTTCCGGCAATTTGCAATCGGCTTAGTTCAAGTTAGGCTCAAGTTAGTGAAAAACTTACCAACTTGACAATTTTCGCGGATTTCCTGTGGAAAATTAAACACTCAAAATCGTGCGCTGTGCATTATCCTAATCCGAACATTTGGACCTGTTTAGTGTCTAGGTACTAATTGGTATATTATAATATGTATATTTTTTTCAAATGAAACCAATCTTATTACACCTTGGTAGCAATAAATGCTGTAACTCGCATCTTGTAGGTATATGTAAACTCATTTTGATTTACATATTTACTAGCAAATTAAATATTGTGGGTCGGAAAATAGAGAAGATACTGGAAAACATATTTTTTACATTTTGTATCTATAACCTGGGTACTTGGTACTATTTTTATAAATTTACTTTTTAAATGAAAATTATGTAGTAATAATAATTTAGTTAATACCTATATTATATTATACAAGATGTATCTAACAGGAATAAATTGTTTTTAAATTTAGACATATTAAAATATGATAAAAAAAATTATACATTAATATCGATTCAAATTATAATAAACAAATGTCATGCATTATAGTTTTTCAATATTACATTTATCAGCCGTTTCGGTTAAATCCTTTTCGGTTATACGATTGCCAGGCTTGTATAGGACCGAGATATTTGTCTTGGTCAAAAACAGTTTATGAGTAAAATAAGCTCCTTATTGATAGATCTTCAATTATTTCTTATTCTGAAAGCCTGTATGATAAATAGACATTTATGATTTCGATTTTTTTTCGCTCACTAATATTAGCGGTTGTTATATTATGATTATATGCTGTGTTTAGATAGTTAGTTTTATGTATAACTTGTTCATCTCTATATAGTTGTAGGCATACATATCTCTATAAAGGTAAGCGACGGGGACTTTTTTTTTATAGTAATTGCTCGGACAGACCTCGAGGCGTTTTCGCGGCCTATTTAAAACGATTTGAACTACGAACGCCGTACCTACATTAAACGCATATTGTTGAGATCACGAATACGTCCATTATTATAACATAAACACGATTTCAGTATGTTTATGTGTTGTGGGAGGAGGAGACGAAGTCTATTTCGTATATAATTCTATCGTTGTCTTCTATTTATTATATTGTTCCGTTTTACTGCACAGTGCACACAATTACAGCAGATTAAATATAAACACAACGAAAAAATATATAACGACGTATATGTTATTTTAGATTATAATTATTCACCGGAGCAACGGTAAAGGTTAGTGGTTACCATGAGTAAACCGTAGTCCGTAGACGTCTATATTCGTATGCATAAAATATTAAAATATAATATATAGCTCTACGTATTATATTGTAATCAGTGATAAAACGTCAAAATTACCAAGTCACATTGTCACAATGCGCTAGGTATAATCCAGTCGTTTAAAATTAAATTTTTTTATCGCAATAAGTATATTGTCTACGGTTTGATAAGAAAATCGTATAAATCGAACCCGTAAATGCTGATGTACCTATATAGGATTTTCTATAGTTATAATTACGTATATTCATTGTCTACCTGACTACCTATATAATATATGTATACCGGTACATTTGAGTGTTTTATGTCGCGTCGAGGTAAAGGAGTTTTGCGTGTTCGTTGATTTCGTATATTATTTTAAGATCCCTTTATAGACGGTAAAAAGAAATTTTTTCTGGCTGAGGAGGGAGACTGGTACACGTCACTATTGGCGAACGGCGCGTGATGTGCACTGTGTACACAACCGGACCGGACGACGAAACCGATTTCAGTCGTTGGCTGTCCGGTCGACCGTTCGCTCGTCCGCTCTCTCTCTAAATTTTTTCAATTAAATAATATCGTCAGTGTGTTGCGTGTTAAATAATTATATGATCATATTTTATATGTTCTGTGCCCTGCGTGTATTGTAATTCAACAGTCTCGACGTATAATAATATAGGAATTAAAATGCCACTCCACCGTACTGACGCCAAAAGGTCTATATATACATTTTTTTTAAATTTAAAAATTATCTCGCTGGTAATGGGGAAGAAAATTTATATTTTTTAACACACGTCAAACCAATCGCTTTTGCTACAATTGTCGATTCATCATATTATTATACATCGTACAGATTTGGCATACATGTTTAATATTTATTATGTATAGTAGGCATATACCGTTACGAGATAATTTGCATTTTGTATATTATTAATTGTATATTTTATACGTAGTTTATAGTTATTTAAAACTATACTCTTGTCCATAATATCATCGTTGTGGAACGTTCATCTCACAAGATTATTTACAAAAATACAAAGAAACATTAGGCATCATTTAGGACTAACCATATACCTGGGTAGTGGGTATACTATTATAACGTATAGTGTGTACAACATGTAATATCGTTAAGTATATTTTCCGATTTTCTGGACATAGCACATTCCCCTATTATACTCAAGTGTACGACGATTTGATTACTCGTTTGTTCGTTAGCCCATTGTAGTATTGTATGTACCTATATTATTATAACAATAATAATTGTGTGTTTGTTTTCCACAGCACACGTGACGCTACGTACAATGAAGAGGAGGGTAGCGTACGGATGTTCCTGCGCGGACGTCCCATCAACCTGTACGCGCCGACTGCTGAGATCGCGTCCTACGACATCACCAAAGTGGCCACCGCTCCTTCGTCCAAGTTGAAACTCGATTGGGTGTATCCTTTTTTTTTTTTTTTTTTGCTGCACTAGACGAGCGCATTTATAGTATATTTTATATGCATAATAATTACATTATGTGATATATTATTTTAATACCTATACTATATATAGGTACCTAGCTCTATTGAAAAACTGTACACTTTCTTTTTATCATCAAGTATAGGTAGATATTTGGGTTGAGTACTGGTTTAACTATTACCATTACCGTCTGTTCTGTGATATTACTCTGTACATTTTTGAAATTTATCACATTTTTTCTTAACCACTTTCAAACGGCCAATTCGTATTTTGAAGTTGATATTGTTATGGATTAGGTATAGATAGAGGTACCTGTATTGTATATTTGTATAATATTGTTATTATATACAATTATGACAGTTAGACTTTGGTAGAAAATGCACATTTCTTGACTTTTCTGCGATTTACGAACCTAAGTACCTGCAATGTCGAGTTTATCGTCTTATAATTATATACTATTTGGTGGCAATAATTGACATGGTATATAACTACTTAAAACGAAATTACTTAGTTTTTGATTTCAAACTTAAATTACGTTTAATGATTAATAATGATACACGCTGTGTGTGTATACGTCATATGACGTTTTCCACGTTGTAAATTACTAGAAAAAGAATAAATATAATATAGGTAATATTTAAGAACTATGGACGTAGGTATAGTAATTTACTAATTCGCGAAATGCACTCTGTACTGATAAATAAAATAAAATACGTTTAAAAAGTGTTTAAAACAATATGCATTAAGCCAATAATAAATAATAATTATATCGCTACAATCATAATTTATTATATCGAAAAAAAAACGATTTGGTTTGTTTAGCAAATCAACACATTTTACAATAAATCTACCGGCATTAGTCATCCGTCAATTGATAAAATAATAAAGTCTGTTAGAGATAACTGTTATTTCATAGACGCGATAAGGAAAACTCAGCATTATTACATTATAATGCTATAAAATATAATATACTAATAAATATATTTTTTTTTTTTTTATGATAAAATTGTAAAAACCGAAATTATTATATTAATAATAATCATTAATATTTTGGGATAGCAGAAAATTTATAAAAATGCAATATAAAATATAACCATAGGTACACTATTCTCACCGTACCTACTGTGAAACCTCTGTCTACGGACATCCTAGTACACCTTCAATAGCGGACACTTCTAAATTCTCCGGCATGAATACCCTCGGATTCGTGGGAAAATATCTCTCCTATATAATAGCGGACAGGTCGTAATTCCGCCGTGATGTCCGCTGTAGAGAGGTTTTTACTGTATATAATACTGTACTAACGAACAACCCTATTCTGCGGTACCTACGATCATCTACGAGTATATAATTATTATTATTGTTTTCCTTAATCGTCCAAATCTACAGTTATGGGTACAGAGGGAAAGACTGCCGTTCCAACTTATACCTGTTGCCCACCGGCGAAATGGTATACTTCGTGGCCTCTGTGGCCGTGCTGTACAACGTCGAAGAACAAAGCCAGAGACACTATTTGGGACACACGGACGACATCAAATGGTAACCGCAGTGGTTTTGCGCATCTTAAGCCGGATTCACAGCTGCGTCGTGTGTCGTGTCGTGTAGTGTCGATCGTATTGTGATTGGATATTACCTTTTTGGTATCATGTAATAACCAAGGTGCAACCGAGTATACCAAGAATTGACTACTGCTCAACTTTTAAACCATATTGGTTACCAGTCGTAACCATATAATAACCAAGCCATCGCACGACACTGCACACGGCGTAGCTGTGAATGCGCCTTTATACTGACCGACCATAAAATATCGTATATACCAGGGTTGGTGGGGTTAGATCGGAGTTTTCCAACACACCCACAGCTGATTTTGTGTTTTTAAAAATAAAAGTTTTCCCTCGAAAAACTTGCTGAACCCTTTGAAATGCTATTTTATTGAACGCAATCGATACGAATTAAAATGGATTTGTTATTAATATGCTATAAAATAATAATAATAATAATTTAAAATACGTAATTTTACTTTTTCACACGAGACCTATTATATAATATACGTTAATACGTTTATACGTTGATATATATACGTTTTTTTCTCTCGACGTTGGTCGTATTTTGTTTTTCTGTTATTCATTAGAACAATTTATTATTTCCACGCGGTCTCGCGATCGATGGCATTGTATAATATGACGAACAAACACCTGGAAATATCAAATGACGTCGTCGCGATGTCAATTCTAGCTAAATATTGTAACTTAAAAATGTCGTTTTGATTTGTTTTTTTCCAGTTTGACCATTCACCCCAACAAGCTTTTGGTGGCCACTGGCCAGACCGCCGGACACGACGGACGCGAGGGAAAAGTAAGACTTTGGCGAATCCGTCCCGAAAACGAACGTACCCAAATATTATTAAACGTAATTTTTTTTCACTCCATAGCCTCACATCCGAGTGTGGAATTCGGTCAGCTTGGCGACGGTGGTCGTGCTGGGACTGGGCGAGTTCGAACGGTCCATCAGCTGTCTGTCGTTTTCCAAAGCGGTAAGTCTACCTGTGGATTTTCGTCGGCTCGTCATATCTGGGCCGACGACGATCAGTTTAGAAATAGTATAATGTCTTATTTATTATGGTATTGGTTTCGACAGGACGGCGGCAGCCTTTTGTGCGCCATCGACGAGGGAAACGATCACAACATATCCGTGTGGGACTGGCAGAAGAACGAAAAGGGTCACAAGATCACGGAGAACCCAGGTCAGTCGAATCGTAATAACATATTTTGTTATTAGGTGCCTAGTAATTGTTATGATGGTCCGACCTTGCGACTTACCGCCTTTTGGACTCCGACTTCCGATTTTTTCTTTATTCTCCTGACATCGCTCCTGTGGCATAAAGTGCTCGCCACCTCCCATAGGCGCAAATAGGTGGGCTAGCCCCCCAAAACTAATGATTTTCACTTCTATAATTTAAGAGCGTCATATAGAGTATCAAGTATAAACCCCCCCCCCCCCCAAATGTCAAACACTATTGTCTATTACATTTACGCCTACGCCACCTCTCCACTTTCTCCCATGTATACCTACCATACCCCGGTGAATCGCGGACATTTCCCCCCACTTTTTTTAAAGTTTACTATTTAATATGAAATTCATGTTTTGCCTATTGTCTAATATTTTTTAAATATTTTCGTAAATACCTATAATAAATTATAGACGTATATTTTTGATCAACTGAACTACTTGAATCAAATTCACAAGCAATTACTAAATTGTTAAATATCCAAACTAGTACAGTTTTAACAAAAAAAAAAATATAATAATAATAAATATGAACAAGGCTAAAAAATATAAGTTGAATAAGAATCAAACAATCAAATGTTTTTTACAAAATGTATCATTTTTATGTCGGATTTTTAGCCATTGTTATTAATTATATATATTTTATTATTTTTTCATTGTTTCAAGCAGTTCAGTTGATCAAACATGTACATTTAAAATCCATTATACTCATGAAAGTAAAAACCATTTTATATTTTATTTAAAAAAAATAATTTCCTATTAATTTAATACATCATTATATATTATTAGTCAGTAATAATAAACTTTTAACAAAAATGGGATGAAAATGTCCTATTGCGTCGAAAACCATTTATACCGCCCCACAAGAAATCTGCACCGTTCTCGATCTCATGCGTTTTCGACTCTTCGTCCTCCTCGATCGTCTATACAGGGTGTCCCGTGAGGATTTACTCATTGCGATATCTCCTGAAATAATGGAGATATCGTAATTATGTTTTTTATTAAGACTCGCAGAGGTAAGCACTACAATATTTTTTTTTTAATTAAATTAAATTTTTTAGTAAAAAAGTTAAAAAAATTATTTTTTATTTTTTATTTTTGAAAAAAATTGAAGATAGCCATTCTATAGAGTATATTTTTGTGAACATTTTGAGCTTTTAACATTTTATTTTCATTAATCTCATGTTTTTTAATAATTTTTTTAGTTTATTAGTAAAACGTCAATAACTGGTTTTGTCCGGGCGGCGAGTCCCCCCTCTACGGCTAATGAGTAATCCTCACGGGACACCCTGTATATATAATATATTGACATTGCCCAAAATACTCGCCAATTACTCATAACTATATATTCATTGGACCTGTACAGTGTTCTATGGACACCGTGGTGGCTGCGGAATTCCACCCACTGGAGCGCAACCAGATCGTGACCTGCGGCAAGGGCCACATCAGTTTCTGGACACTGGATGCCGGAGGCACCCTGTACAGCGCAAACGGAATATTCGAGACCACCCGCGACCGTCCCAAGTACGTGACGTGCTTGGCTTTCACTCAGAACGGAGACGTCTTGTCCGGAGACTCCAACGGATCCGTAGTCACATGGGGACGCGGTGAGTACGACAAAAAAAAAATGGTTACACAGGTTTTATTAGGCGTGTACATTATTTATGGGCAATCGGGCTCGATTTTGGTATTTCGAGACAAGACGGAATAATTTATGAGGAGGCCTTACCGTTCGGTCTAGATCTTCTCTTTCATTTCTTGTGGATTTCGTGGTTCTCGAGTCTGGTTGTCGTGTTTACAATAAATACTTCTTGACCGACTTGTATAGGCACAAAATAATTAGTCAAAGTCGCCCGAAACGTGCACGAAAGGAATTCAGTTGTTTTCCATATGCGTGTTTTGAAAAGAAGGGCAGCATTCATAACTGGAGGCGGCAAAAAGACCGGCCAAACTGATTTCCAGTTTTGACTCTTTCGATGCATCCCACTGGATATGAAGCACAAGTGAGCTATTATCGTTAAATATTTATAATGTCAAATTGTCACAGAGTTAATTTCATAAAATCTTGTTCGTTTATACATTTTAAACCCCTCTCCCGTCACAAGCATAATATGTTTTGATTCACAGTATGTACGAACAACTTAATATCACAGATTATATTCAACTTTTATGCAATAATATTTATTTTATATAATCCGTGTTGATATTGTGTTTGTACCAAAATAATTTTAATATTATGTTCTCAATACTTTATGAACTAAAAACATATTTAAAACAGATTTTTTTTTTTAAATCCACAATTTAAATAAATATAATTTTAAAATAATCGTTTTGAAAGTACCTATCTGAATATAATAATATACCAAGACGTATAGTATTAAATTAGTAGTATTTAAAACATTTTTTTTTTTGGACACCTTAAGTATTTATTTATTATTTTATATTTTAATAATTTCATAATATTATGATCTAAAATTTTAATTATTGCTTCTTTTGAATATAGGTTGCTGAACACTTGGGTGGTATTCGTACAGTATCTGAAGGCCGTGGATCACAATTGCTAGTTGGATCCACCCGCAACTGCATTTTGATTGGTTCTTTGTCGATGGGCTTCAGCCCTGCTGTCCTGGGCCACACCGATGAACTCTGGGCGTTATGTCCTCATCCCACATTAGCTCAATTTCTCACAGCCGGATTCGATCGCATTGTCCAGCTTTGGGATTCGTTATCTCGCTCTGTCGTATGGAGTAAAGACATTGCAGTTAGTATTACATTTGCATTAGCTAACTTTACATTTCATACCTACATGTCTACATCACTTCTGTACATAATATATAGGAACAAGCACAGTCGGCTGCATTCTCTAGCGATGGTAGAATAATCATTGTTGGTTGTGTATCTGGAAAATGGATTGTCATGAATTCGGAAACACGAGAAATCTATTCGACTCACATTGACGGAAACGAGCCAATACAGGTACGCACAATTTCAGTATGAATAATTATAATTTAAACACACCGTAATAAAATTTGTTTATTGTCATTTAAAGGTTGCGAAATTCTCGCCAGACGGCCAACTACTTGCTCTTGGTTCCAGGGACAATTATATCTACATATATCAGGTCACAGATGGTGCCAGACATTACACTCGTTTAGGACGCTGCACTGTAAGTATATTATTCCACGTATTGTCCATCGTGCATCTGAAACCTATGTGCTCTTATTAATGATCGTACAAAATTGTTTACCTATTACCCCTATATTACAACCACTACCCATTCCACATAATTATTTTTGTTGAATTCACTCGATGTTTAGTGTTGGGAAGATAAACGTCGCAGGAATGTGTAGTACCGCGCTATTGTTGACAAGATGTCGGTAGGTGTAGGTTACCAGTGTAGAGCCGAGTGTTGCTGCATGTAGATGTTTTTGTAGAGATAAAAAAATTAATGTACAGAACAGATATTACATTGGATGAATTAAATTGTATGATTAGGGTTACCGATATTATATATTATGCGCATTAATTCGCCGTAGGTTTATTTGTTTTTGGTTTTTGTTTTGTTTTAAATTAATTAATATTGTAAATTGTTTAATATTTTATATTAACGATTTGATTTGCTGCTGTTGGTATATATTTGTATAAAGGTATCAATATGTTTGTACATATTGATGTTGAGTTTGTACTTTGTATGCTTTTGTAATCAATAATAGTTTATTGGTTGTAATGTTAAAATTGTATCCATAATTATATTTTCTGTGTGTTAGGTGTACATATTATTTCTAAAAGAAATTGATTTAATTACGATGATTTTGTTTTTTATTAAATTAGGGACATTCAAGCTTCATCACTCATTTGGATTGGTCAAAGGATAACGCTAGCACTGCGAAGTAACTCTGGAGACTCCGAGCTGTTTCTTATATTGTATTAACATTTTTTTTATTTGATGTAAAACCAACTGTACAGTGTTGTAATGTAATTTATTTTTTTATTTTCAACTAGGGAAAGTGAAAGTTGTCGTCAAGTCACTCCACAGCACCCAACCTTCGGGACACTGCATGGCATCCAACTTGCGTCTTGACATTTCCTCCATGGAATATGGCCTGAAGGTTGCTGATGCACTGATGTTAACGATGCGAACGATCAAAACGGATCCAAGGTGATGGCTACAGGAGATGACTTTGTAAAGTGAAACTGATTCGTACCCGTCAAACCACCTTCAGGTAAAGATAACGAAATACGAATGTATACACTACCATATAATTTGTTAACATTAGAAAAGCGCAATTCATTATTAATCTCGAAGTTTATAATGTTTGTATATTATTGCTGTTTATTATTTTATTATTATACCCTTTTTGTCTGTAACACAATATATTATGTACAATCTATACAAATATAGTATACTAAAGTAAGTCTGATGACAAATTATTCACAATGTGTGTTCAAGATAAGAATAGGAAGGCTCCCAGCGGAGCCACCTGACAAGTTTAAGTTAATATATCATATTATTGTTATAACAATAAAGTTATTGTAATATTGCCATAATATATTAAAACAGTAATTTTAATAGCATTAATAATTTCACAAAATAAATTGCTCATTAAATTCTTTTGAAATAATTAAAATTTCTGGATAAACATTGTGTGTTAATTATCAAATAGAGGTTAATAAATTGTTCACTTTTACTAAACTGCATAACTTAGGCTATAGTATTATTATACTATTGTTACGGGCTACTTTTCAGTGTTTAATGATTTTCTTATTTGTATTCCTCAGTCGCTATGCCACGTGTATGGAGGCCACAGCAGTCATGTGACAAACGTGACTTTCTTGCACGACGACTCCAGACTGATATCGATTGGTGGCAAAGACACCAGCGTCCTACAATGGGAAATCATATAAAAGAGCGTTAATTGAATCTTATTATTATTATTATTATTATTATTACAATTATTATCATCATTATTATCGTTCAAATGATTCTTCACTATTATGAGAAAAAATTTATTATTGAATCTATAATTATATTTATTATTGTTTAGTACATATTTTTAATAATATTCACTTTAGCACAAATACAGTCCGTGTACAATGTGTTTGTGTTATTCAAATGTTCTATATTACTATTCGTTATTACACGTTCAATGTTATGTCGACAATTATTCATAGAATAATACATTATTATTATTATCATCATCACTCGTTTTTTTCGTCGAATCGTATTATTTAATTATAACAATATTATTATTATATTGTACTTTTGTGTTTTTTAAAATAAACAAACGTAATATGTGTCTATAATAGTTAAATGTTGCTGTTTTTTTTTTAAAAAATAATACTTAGATTTCAATTCATCAAACCTGTTGAGTATTATGTCAGCAAAATAACAGGTTGATACTACAGCATAGAACTGCTGATATGTTACTAAGAACAAGTGGTTGTTTAAAGCAAAGAAAAATATGGATACAGTATCATGAGACGCTATTTATAAATTAGTTAAAATTACGCTCATCTACAATGTGTCTTAAATCTCAGAGATTTTTTTTTCATTTTGTATGAAGCAAATATTCTATTTTCCAACTATTTTCCATCTATTTAGTAATAAAAATACACAGTCATTGTACAAGAAAATTATGTTCAACACATTTATAATTAACTTTATGAGGACTATTTGAGGACGCCACACCTGCATGTGTTGTTTCCGTCTTTCATACAATAAGTTCGAAACATAGCGTTTAGCTCCATTAGTTTAAAATTTAGAGTGAATAGAACTATTGTGATACTTCATGGTAAGAACATTATCTGTGTTTGTATGTTGTTTTTTTTTTTTTGGTTAAATTGTTTAGCAAGTTATTCGTATATAACATGGCTTAAACTATACGATAAAATTTAAGTATGTGTTGTACAAAACAAATTTTATTAAATTCAGTGACTTGACATGGAATAATAAAAAAATAAAAACATAATAGTATAATGTGTAAATTCACAGGATTCTGCAATTGATAAACAGCTATAAAATTGTTTTATAAAAATATTAAAAAGTAGATTAGAATCTTTTAATAATATACTAGAAAGAACAACCCGCTGTCATTATTCTATTCTGTGCTGCTGTATAACACATTTATACCACACGCGAAACATTACCAACTTAACTGTCACTAGTTACTTACAATAGCATTAGGTTTTATAACATAAATACTGTGAGATGTAAAGATAAAATGTGTATCAGTGTGTAATATAAAGTAATTTAAAATAATAAATAATACAATGGAACTTTTCTAGTATACTGCCATAACGAGAACCCTAATTTGAAAATCTAGCTTTTAAAGTGGCAGGAAATTAGAATTTTTTTCCTTTACAATACTGCGACACCGGTGCTTTGACGCAGCACCAAGAACTCTCGGTGGTATTTGGATTTTTTAATTTTTTATTGTATATGGCATGGTATTGGTGTACAAAATTAAAAGTTAAAAGTATAAAGTAATAACGTAATAAACATAAAATAAAATAATTGTATATTAACAAAAGCTTTCTCTGCTAGAATGGGTGAAATCTAAATTATCCATGGCCTCTAGCCACCTCTTCCTTCGTTCTTCGTCTAATAGTCCAACCAATCGATTTGCATTTACATTCTTCCCATCCTTTTTATTCTCACCGAGTAGAATCTCACATTCCTTCGTCCAACACGGAGTATAGCTACGTCTGTGTCTTATAGGTATTGATTTTTTAGCCACTGTTTTTAGAAGTTTTACGAATCTAATGTAATCGGCCGTCCCTGGTTTTATTGGGTTTATGTTTTCCTCGACGTATTTCAAAAAACATATCAATCCGCTTTGCGTAAATTCCATCTTGGCATGGGTGGTTTGTCAATCGTTGGTGTTAAAAGTTCAACGGACACATAATTTCCAATATCATCCAACCACCCATTGCCTTTCAACTAAATGTCTTTCTCTTGAAAAATTTGGATTCATTGATTTCAATAGCATGCCCATATCTACCAAGCACAACATTCTGGACATTTATGCACTCATATTACTAATATTACTTCCTGAAAAAAGGAAACCCAGTCCATAATTGTTTCATTAGCTATATTTAATCTGTTGTTGGATCACCGGAAATGTGCAGATCATAACCCAGAAATATCCAACAACGATAAGTGAAACTTCACAAAAAATGTATTTTTCTCAAATGACATGCTACAAAATATTTGATATATTTTTAAATTTAGTTCATTTTAGTTATATTATTTACCCGTAGTTACAAATTCTGATTTTTGACATTAATGCGTCAAGAAGAAAAATGCAATGTGTTTTGGTGCATTTCTTGTGATGCTAGAAACTTTAAAATTGAACCAAATCTTCCTTATAAGTCTCAGACATATAAATGATTTTAAGTTTGTTTAATATTCCCAAATATTTTTTTCTTCTTCAAATTCTTGTCAAGTAACGCTTTGGTTCAGCTTCAATATTAATATGTTTTAACTGTAAGTAGGTACCTATATATTATATCATTAGGTAGGTACATTCAAATAAACATAATATAAAGATAGTTAAAATTAACAATAAAAAGCTGTGAAAAGCAATAAAATGCTTCAATTCAAATCTGATTTAATTATGATTTGTAATCACATCATGGGAATATTGTTATTAGTTTAAATTATTAGTATTATTTACATAGCTCTTAAATGGGAGAGCAAGGATTAAGACAGTGATTTTATTCTTTGAGTAAGAGTGTAGCTAATATACCATTATTCCTACTTGTTTATTACAATTTAAATATTAATAAAGTGAAACTTCCATGTAACAGCTCTATTGAGCATGAAACAATTTGTATTATAGTGAATTTTGTTAAATAGAATTGAATAAATTTGGTTTAGTTCTCAAAAATATTTTGTTGAACAGAACCATTTTGATAAATGGAAGTTTCACTGAATTAGCATATAATACAATTTTTTGATCCATATCTAAATGTGGTGATAGGTTCACAAAAATAATTTTTTTTTTTTAAATTCAAATATAGTACCTATAAAAATTTGTCTAGTTAAAAATAAATTTAATTATTTAATTGTTTTATAAAAAATATACGTAAAAGTGGTCCAATTCATCCGTTGTACCTTGTCTTTCCAAATATTATTATTATAGATAGTTGCTAAAATAATAGAGAACTTATTATAGTTTCATACCATTTATTGTACGTTGTGTTTTTTTAATTTTTCTTTGATTCTGCATATATATGTAATTTCAGCAATGAGGCCTAGAAAAATGTAATGTTTATTTGCCAATTGTATACTTAACAACATAATATTTCTTACCAAATATTTCCAAACTGTGATAGACATTTATACATTTTTATAATATTTCATTTAAGATGGACTTGTCCTTCATAACCAAAAAAACTATATTATAATAGATTGCCAATTTCTCTACATTATTATGATTGCAATGATATTTTTGTGTTATCTAAAAAATTACAATATTTTAGAACCATTTTCGGATTTCTGAATTTAGCATTTTTTAAGGCCAAGGTCTTGCAGTCTTTGAAAAAATTATATTCATGATTTGTGTCTTTGTAGAACCTGAAATAACTTTCAAATTTTTCGAATGAATTAAAAGTATCTTGGAGTTTCATACTTATATATTATTCAACTTTAAAACGAAAAACAAAACTATGAAAAAAACTGTGAATAAACTTGAATTCAACATGTATAGGGACTCGTCTATACTTGTCATGATGTTATACAATTGAAGGGAAAGATCCCTATAAAGCAAAAGCCAAATAAACAATTAAAGTTTCACTAATACAATAACTAGTATTATATATATAAATTAGGTGGTAACAGGTCATTTACAGAGTGACCCAGTACTCTATTATCGAACCTGGCGCCCTGTGCTCTAGACACAGCGTCAAAATAATTTCTTATTCATGAATTAAGATATACATAATTTGTGGTCTTATAATAAATAAAAACTAATTTGTGTACTATTAATTAATTCTAAATAAAATAAAATTTATTAATAAATTGAAAGTAAAACCTGTCACAAACATAAATTATACAAATTGTTGACAAAGAGTAACTTACTGAATGAGTCCTGGGTGGTTTGTACCGCGGCTGTTAGTGGAGCGGGTCTCGGAATGGCCAGTAAATCATAGCGATAACAAGTGTTGTACAGCTTGCGCACACAGCAATTGCATGTTCTATCAGTAAAAGTTACTGTAACATACATAATACATTATGATTTTTTATAAATACATATTGATGATACAAACAATTTTTATACTAATTTTGTACTACTTATTTTTAAATTCTTAAACCCTTAGCATGCCAGAAAATTCGTCACTGGCTATTAAACACATAGTCTTAAATTAAGAAAAAAAAAGAATAAATTCTTTTATACTTCACCTTCATCGTTTGCTACAAACGCAAAATTTCCAAAACTTATTAAGTTTGTTTTATACTTTTATGTTGTGGCACAGCTGTGGTCCGAACTTACTCATGAGCAGTCCTGTAAAGTATTTGAGTAAAAGTATTCAAATACTTTTTTAAGTATTGAATAACTTTTTAAATACTTTCAGCATGAAGTATTTTGAATGGTATTTTAAATACTTTTTTTGTATTAAATACTTTTTGGTATTGAATACTTTGGTTTTTTATTTCGAACATTTTATTTTTATTCGAAATAATTTTAGAAATTTTAGAATGAATTAAGAACACAAAATAGGTAGTATCACCAATGGGTGGTTTCTTCCCTCAAAAAAAAATCATACGCAAATACCCTATGCACATTTGCTTATTGTTCTAGTTAAGAACAGATTGTAAATTTCATGTAAAAATAAAAAAAAAATACCTATGTAATAAATATTTATTTAATAAATAATAAATAAAAATGATTATAATTTTACTACCTATGTGTCTATATTACAATAATTAGAAACCCAATTTAAAAACCAAAAGTATTTGAAAAGTATTCCAAATACTTTTTCAAAGTATTTGAGTAGTATTTGAAATACTATACAATTAAAGTATTTGAGTAGTATCTTAAATACTTAAAAAAAAATGTATTTGAGTACTTACTCAAGTACTTTTCAAAAGTATTCTTTACAGGACTGCTCATGAGCACTGAGCACTGAGCAGTGAGCAGTAAGTAAGTTGTAAAACCAAGTACAAACGTGATATCATAATTCATAATAATATCAATAACGGATTAATCTTTTATCTATACGGCCGTGGACGGGGTTGTTGTCGTGCTATATTTAAAACAACCACACTGATAGTGGTAAATGGTAATAGTCGGTAAGAGAAAAATCAAAAAAAATTAACAAAACCGGTTAGGATAGCCTGCAATCGACATGCGACCGTCGACGAGTGACGACACCGCCAACTTTCTGAGAACTTTTAAGTTGATACGAAAAGTCCGGATAAATACCTAGTCGGACATCGTCGTGTTGATAAAATCCTGTCCACATTCGCGGGAAGCCGGAAACGAGTTGTTCCGGTGTCGACGGTCGCGGTTCAGAGTTCGGAGAGAATATTGTGATCCTATATTTAGCCGAGTTCGCGACGACGTCTCGGCAGGCGGATGTTCACTTCCGGTCTGTAGGTATCGTTTCGCGTTCGTAGGAGAAAAACGTGACGGTCGGATCGCAGTGACGAGTCTCGTCGGACCTGTGAACGCAATGGCCGACAGTAACTACTCACCTACCGTTATGATGGATATTTCCGTCGGTTCTCTCGGCGTTTTCCTCGCTTTGATTTCGATCGTTTGTTATTTCGTCAGGATCAGACTGATGGTCGGCGCCCGCGGTCTGCCCTCATCCACACGTCCGCGGTTGCTGGTCACCGACGGTCTGCCCCTGACGCCCACACCGCGGTTGAAGGCCGCCGACGGTCTGTCCACGTCCACACCGCGGTTGCAGGCCGCCGACGGTCTGTCCACGTCCACACCGCGGTTGCAGGTCGCCGACGGTCTGTCCACGTCTACTCCGCTGTTGGTGGCCGTCACCGTTCCGCGAGTTCGCCAGAGTTCCGGATCCGCCAGAATCGCCGACAAGTTCCGCGTGTCGGTAAATCCGTTCACGCCGACCGGCATCGCGATACTGAAAAACCGAAAGAAACGCGTAACCGGATCGAACGACGATCTTCTCGGCATCGCGGGTCTCGAGTACAGTGACAACCTCGGTGACGACTGCTTGGGCGCCGGACAGTGCACGCCACCCGACAACAAATCGCCTGTTCCCGTCCATCCGTCCGTCGTCAGACGTCTGGTGGACAGTGGCAAGGTGACCAACATCAGTATACGCGAACTGCAGACGTCCCGATTCAACGAAGAGTTCAGGATAGACGAGTTCATCGCCACAGGTAGTTTCGGAGTCATATACAAGTGCACAAATCTATTCGACGGGATACCGTATGCGATTAAAAAAATCAAACAGACCGTGCACAGGAGCCCAGAATACCTGGTCCGGAAGGAGGTGTACGCGAACTCGGTGTTTGGGCGACATCCCAACTTGGTTTCGTACTTCACGGCCTGGTACGAGAGGGGTCACATTTACATCCAAACCGAGTTCTGCCACGGAGGCACCCTGGAACGCATGATCCACGAGTCTGATCATGTGTTTTGCGACAACGCTCTGAGGCGATTGTTGTGGCATGTGTGCAATGGCCTGGCTCACATCCATTCCAAAAAACTCGCTCATTTGGACATAAAATCAGCTAACATATTGGTATGCAAAACTAATGGGTCATTGCTGTTTGCCAATGATCTAGACGACAAAGAAGAAGAAATAGTTGACAAACATATCGTTTATAAGATAGGTGACTTTGGGCATACAATATGTGTTGAAGATGTCCGAAATATTGAAGACGGAGACTCTCGCTACTTACCTAAAGAACTATTACGTGACGATTATTCTCAGTTGCAGAAGGTCGATGTGTTTTCATCTGCTCTTACAGTATACGAGGCAGCAACTCGTAAACATTTACCTAAAAACGGACCAGAATGGCATCGTTTAAGGAATGGCGAATTTTCATTACCTCAAACTCCATTTTTCAGCACGAGTCTTGAAAAATTGCTAAAAAAAATGATAGATTTGGATCCTACCAATAGACCTAGTGCTTCTAAAGTGGTTAATATTTTGCTCGACAGAGGAATGGCAGCAACAAAAGATCAAGATGAAATGGAAGCGTTGAAATTAAGTGCTCAATACCTTTCACCTTGGTTAATCGATTTAAAACCGCCAAGAACAGCACTATCAGGTAGAAGTAACTATATTTATACGGACTGAAAGTTTTAAGAAATTCAAGACTATTGAACAGGAAATGAAAACATTTACCTAATTATATTTAACCTATAATTATGTTGAACTATTAGATTTAAAAAAAAAATTTAATTCATAGCTATAATTTTTATTACTCCGTCAAATTTAAACTGTTAATTAAGAATATTTTTAAAAGAAATGTTTAGTTTAATTTAATTTAATTTAAAAAAAAATTACCTAATGGTTAATATCATTTGTTATTTATTATTATTATTGTTTTTATAATTTTTATAGCTGCATTATTTTATAATTGAAAAGACAGGACGATGCATTTTCCACAAATGTTACCTATTTAAAAATGCAAATTTACAATGAATTACATAGGGATTTGAAATGTTAACATTAGCTTATTTATAAGTATTTTTATAATCATTGTGTGTATTAGGTATAACCATATAATAAAATTATTTTATTAAATTTCTATTTGTTAATTAATTTGGTACATTTTTTTTTGTTCCAAATATGATATTCTCTTCTTTAATCTGTTCACTTTATTAGTCTCATAACTTTTAGTTGGAATAATCACAATGCCGTGTATATATTTAGATGGATTTTACTAGTATATAGTATGATGTACATCCTTGATTATTGCTACTTTATTTCCAGCTCTATATTAGTTGGTTCTTAGTGCTAAATATTTGTTAACGACCATAATATGGATTTCCTCTGACATAAATAGCTTGTGTGAAATGTATTAGGCAACTGAAAACAAATTGGTATTTAATTATAGTGAACGTTCAAACAATAAGTTTTTCAATAAAATAAGACAAATTGAAAGTACAAGACATTAATAATATCATTTACCCTTATTACGTTCAGTATAATTTATTAGTATAGTAAATTATTAATTTTAATAAGAAATTACAAGAATTATACTATAAGTAATATAACTAATATAGGTAAATTATATTATTAATGTCGTTCACAATTATTATTGTAAATAGTAATACACATTCATCTCAAGATCATGGCCGGTTTTATTGGGGGTGTAGACCCCCACTAAAGGGGGTAGACCTGGTTTATTTTAGTCTGCAAAATTGTCATTTTTATATAGCTGTCGGCAAATCAGCAATTATTATTTTATTATAATTTATGATTATTTCAAAATTCAAATATAATTTATTATACCTATTATGTTCCAATATAATAGTAAATAATAATTAAGAACTACAAATAGGTAACAAAAAATATTTATAAAATATAAATATAATATTGCATTTCAATCATATGATTTTGCCAGTAGCATGTCATGTAAGATAAATGGTGCTCAGCATAAATTATCAGATATTGTTGGTCACAAAATTCCATTCATTCCATGCCAAGCGCATCGATTCAATACATTTGTTGAACAAGTGAATCTATCAAAAACCCGATGGACTGCAAGGGCTGAATCAATTAAAGGTGTTTGGATATCATATGAACAAATTATTGATGCATTACAAGATATATCAGACTTAAAATTTATGGATAAAAAAACATGTACTCTTTCATTAGGTCTCTCTAAAAAAATTCTCAGTTTTGACTTAGTAATTTGTTTATCATTTATAAAAATGTCATGTATAAAACAAAATCTTCACAGAAAACCTAGAAGCTACAGAATTATATATAATTTTATATAGTATTCAAATTTTATAAGTATTTATAGAAAGAATCGTCCATCAAAAAATTGACCATATATAAACAGCTCAAAACAGGTCAAAATATTTTCAAAATTGTATGGTGTATATAAAACGAGAAAATAAATTAAATTTTCATGTAACTACAGTTATTTGTTTTTTGTAAATCATCCAAAAAATGTTGTACTTACTTCAACGATGACTAAATCATATTTTGGACGCTTTTGAATGATTTGTAGCAATTTTGTGTCAGGAAATCGTATTTCACAAAGTGCATTACCATGTATTGTAGTAAAAGAATGTAGCATTGAATTTAAGTTTTTATATTTTTCAATAGTGCTATAATTAATGTGACTTCCATAATCTGGCATTTTTTCCAAAACAATCAGTTTAATTTTCATATTTTTTTCTACTTTTTTTCTTAACTTGAACATTGTTTAATATTCAAAATTGACAATATAAAAATTATTTTAAACTCAGATAATAATATGAATTGTGTCAATTATAATATATTTTTTTTCACTTTTAAAATTATTTTTTATATAGATTTTTACTAAATTGTAGTCCAACTGAATACTTCAGCTACCTACTACAAACTGCCTCTGATTATGAAACTTATTGAAACTAGCCCAAAAAGTGGGCTCATTTGCATAAAAAGACGAACCGGTTGTCACTGCGGGCAGGCTGCGTTTTCATCATGCTGACTATTAACACTATCATAGTTTTTACTTTATAAATTATATTTATTAATGAATTCTATTTTATTTAGAATTAATTAATAATACACAAATTAGTTTTTATTTTTAATAAGACCACAAATTAAGTATATCTTAATTTGTGAATAAGACATTCATTAAATGGGTACCTACTTTAAAATTTTTAACTGAAGAGTTAGTAGGTACATATTCGATTAAAATTGATAAAGTATTAAATGAATGTCTCATTATGAATAAAAACTAATTTGTGTACCTATTGTTAATTAATTATATATATAAAATAGAATTCATTAATAGATTGAAAGTAAAAAACTTTTTTAAATATTTAATCTTGGGCAGGGCCGGAGCTTTACATTTTTTTAAGGGGGGGGGGGGGTGTATTCGCTTTAATTTGGTGACTGAAAATTAAGTGATTTGCCAACTATATTATTCAACATACTCAATGACTCACGTAATTTACATACTCCAAGTAAATTTTTTAATAACTATATCTAACTTGTTGAAACTTATGAAAACAAGATATTTGTATCGTTATTCATTGAGATACTATCCAATGAATTAATAATATCCACAATTGTTGAATAAGTTACTAAATAAGTTAAGGGGCCTCGCTAACGGTCATTATTTAAAGGGCTACATTTAGGGTAATCTTGTCATAGCCACCCGGGATCTATGTGTTAGTTGTAAACACGGTATATTAATACTAATATATTGTGGAGTGAGTGAAATTCCGTGTGTTCCTAAATTCATCATCTAATCTAGCGGATTGTTCAGTGGATTGATAATAATTAAGGTAATGTATTATTATACATATTTTGTACCACAGTTTTATCATTACTCAATTAGGTATAACCAGAAAGGTACTTAAATTATTTTATTAAATGTTTATTTGTTAATTAATTCGGTTAACTTTTTTTGTTCCAAATGGTTACCTATTGTCTTCTCTTGTCTTGTATTTAATTTTTTTTTTCTGAAACTGAGTTATTATTAAGTCCATCATCTAATCTGTATATTTTATTAGCCTCACCACTTTTAGTTGGAATAATGGAATCACAATTCTATATATATTTAGTTACATTTTATATTTGGTATGACAGATGTAACATTCGACAGACCAGTGCAAAAACCCAACATTTAGAGAGGAAAATAGTTATCTTAGGTAAATTTAGACTAATGGGGAAGACGGCAGGAATATATGTAAATAAAATGCGTGTTCAATCTGATTTCATCATTTACTGTAAATAATAAGTAGAAGTAATATAAAAATTAAACAGTATGATATAATACTAAGTAAAATAACTAGGTATAGCTATTTTTGCTTAGTAATAATTATTAATCACTAATTAGGTATTACTACCTATAGACAAATATATGAATAATTTAATAAAGAACAGTTTTATATTAGTTGGTTCTTGGTGCTAAATATATGTAAACGACCATATGTATTGCCTCCGACATAAATAGCTTGCGTGGGATGAACTTCCATGACTATGCAACGACTCTTCAAATTTTTAGAGATTAGATCGTGCAATACATTTCCCTCACAATCATAAACTTGCATCTGAAACACACAGGAAATTAATTATAGTGATCTTTCAAACAATAATTTTTTGAATAAAAGAAGACAAACTGAAAGGGAAAGACATTAATTTTAATAAGAAATTACAAGAATATTATACTATACGTAATAAAAGGTAATAATATTATTGACGTAATTTACAAATATTGTTAATACTTTTTTTTTATTCCGCCTATTATTTTTTAAACCATGATTAATTTCTCATTAATATTAATGACTTATTCCAACGGCATGAAACATTTTTTTTAATTACAAATTAAATTGCACACTAACACAAATAAAGCTTATAAATAATATGAAAATTCAATTAAAATAAATATTTTAGAAACAGTGTGATGAAATTATACTATTATAGTTCAATTTATATATTTTATTTCTGAGAACTAATTATTATTGATTTGTTGATGAATTATATGATTAAAATAAAGGTACTGCTGTCTAATTGAGTATTTTCATGTATTTTGTTTGTATTATGATCCTCAATCCTTATTTTAAGGTGTCATAGAAAAAAAAAAATAGGAGAGTAAACGCAATGAATAGTTATTACTAAATAGTATATACTATATTGTAATGTTTATTGTCCCCATCTGTAACAAATAACAGTATAAAAGAAAATGTCTGGGGGGGGTTTTTTCACTTGCTCTCCCACAATTGTATTACACCATAACCTTGTTTACAATTTTCATATGACAAAAATAGTTTTACATTTTGCCAATTCTCGTTTGTAATAATATAATATAATAACTATTATGGTCTCGTGAATACTAGCGATTTAGTTCATCAAAACACCGTTTTGAGACAAAAATTCTTATCCTTATTCTGTAACCTGAGTAGATAACTATGAAACCAATCAAACTAATATTAATAAGTAGAATTCATATAAGATTATTCTGTAATAAATATTTGTAATATAATCAAATTATCAATAATTAAACATACTCTTGCAGGCCATAGCATTGATGTAATGAAGAATGCATCATTTCTTCCAGGATTCCATTTGGCTTGTAAACTATGTTCATAATATTGTCTAAAATATGGAATTATGTACGTGGGTTCTAAAACATTTTGAAAATTATTATAACATTATTAAATATTATATTTTTGCCCGGATAGTTTTGAAATATTAGGGATCAGCATAGGCTGTCCTACAGGTGCAGCCTGTGCTGTACCTGACATTTCAACCGTAACATTTTTTTTTACTGGTTGTTATCATATTCATTCATAACTCATAGGGTAGGTATTTTATAATTTAGATATCTTTGTTATTTCAAGATATATTTTTCCGATCAAGAACTCAGTTGTTAGTTGTTAGTTCATAGTTCTTATGATAGGCTTGAATAGACTTCAGAAGATTCTCTACATTGTGAAATTATATTACCACTATGGCACTATTCATTAGTTCTATTACACATATTAGTCGGATTCAATTTTTGTGTACATTAAACCAAAGAATACTAACTTCTTATCATTATCTATAAGCTACCTACCTTAATTATAGGTACAAATTTAGATTAGCTGTTTAAAGCCGATTATACTTTTAAGAATTTTAGATCGGTATCTGTTAGCTTTTAAAATTGTTAAATTATTGATATTGATCTCGATTAAATAATTAATTAAATTAGTCATAATTATGAGTATGCATAGTACGAAGAAGTTAAAAAACTGAAATCACGTAGTTTTTTTGAGACACATTTTTTAAGACAAAACCTAAAACTATGACAAAAAATTGGACATCTATTATCTCAGTCTGATTTGATGGTGAAAGTACCATGCCTGGTAGTATTAGATAAATACAAGCTAAGTGTAAAGTGCAAAGTGTAAAATAAACATATTATATATGTCCACTGTTGTGCTCACAGTCTTAATTTGATCCTAATAGATTCTATATGTCAAAAGGTAAATTTATCGTTCAGTTTGAAAAATAATATATGTATATTTATATAGAAGGAAGTCCTACAAGACATGATATTAAAAGAAAATATAATAGCATCATTCGGTTATGAATTTAGAACATTTTAATCATTATACTAGATGGGCTTGTAGGGCCAAAGCTGTAACTTCTGTAAAAAACAACTATGGATCTATTTTAACTGTTATAACTAATAACTATAACAATTTAATAAATTAGCTGTTTATGAAAATAAAATAAAATGAAAATTCCAAGTAGGAAAATTGAATGAAACATATAGAATATATTGTGTAATGTTATAATAATGTTGGTATATAATAAGTAAGTAGTTTCTACGTAACATGCTGCCTCAACTTTTTTATACTTGGAAACTCGTACAATTTATTGAATATTATTATAGAAAACTTTAATATTTTCAGCTTACTTGTAGCATCCAAATTAAATTTTTCGGTATTAAATATCCTTATATTGTTATCAATACATGTTGACACCATCTTGGTTCCATCAGTAGAAAAAAATGAACTTGTCAATTCTTTTGGATGTTTAAATTGTAGAACTGGATTTATATGTTTGTCAGTCATACTTCTTATGTCCCATAAGGAAACCACCCTGAAAGTATAAATATAATTTGAATGGTTAACGAAACAAATACTATCATAGTTAATGACATATAATATAAATCTAAAGGATTTTAAGAATACATTTTAATTTTTAATACAATATTATTAAAGCAATTAGAATTACCCAATTTCAGATGAAGTTAAAAAGTAATGTTTTAACAATGGGTGATACTGAACTGTACACACAGATCTTTGATGGCACCAGGCAGAGTTGATAATTTTATCTGGTAATCGTGTGTCAATCATATCTACATGACCAGAACCTTAAATTTTTAAGTAAAATTATAAACACTTGATCTATAGGTAATGACGTAAAACAACTAACAGACATCAGTCATAGAACATACCATTTCCAATGAGAAGATTTCTTTCACAGTCACTGTGCCATGTGGTGTGATTAATATTTGATCTACTTATACACTTCCGTTCTGATTTATAAATCTATTTATTAAAATACCATAACTTTAATTAACACAATTAAAACAATGATCATCTCTGAAGTAAATATATTTTACTGACAATATCAAAAGTGTGTTTAACAGTGTCACCATATCCAACAGACCCATCATGACTAGTTGAAAACAACTTGTTTTTATCCCAAGTGCAAAATGAAATACAATTAACTTGAGCTTTATGAACCATAGACATTTGCATTTCTGAATTTCTGTCATACAATGCTACAAAATTGAATTATTACATAAGTAATAGCTATGATAAAATTATATTTATATGCTTAATGTCATAATATTAAATATACTACTATATATTCAGCCTCACTTATGTTTCCTTTCCTGTCCCCTGCTGCAATTATAAGAGATGTTTCTGAAGGATGAATAGCAAGAGATTGAATACCAAATTCCGATATTTTTATTGGTGGTATATTCATATCAAGACTTCTTAGCACATGAACAAATCTAAATGTAAATAAAATAATATTAAACATATCAATAATAGTTTAAAATGGAAATATTAATGCATTTGTAATAGGACTTTAAAAATGTACTCTTTATCAAAAGGGTGTAAAGAGAAACATACAATTTAAATTTGTGATAGTTGATAAACATAATATATATTATATCATTATATTGAATGTTTCAAAATGCAATTAAGTTACAATTCTTAAGCTGACACTTTTATTTGAATGAAATTTAGTGTAAAAAGTTAAAGTTAATTAAAAATTTAAAATAAGAACGGTATAATTCATTTTCCTAGTTGTTCAGTTATATTTCAATTAAATAATTATAGACGAATTAAAATTTTCAATAACTTAGAACTTATTGCATACTTTTTACTTGCTAATCTATGAAAATCATTAACAGGTTCTTTAATGGCTACGTCGTCATTCAATTTTTCAACAAAATATGAGTCTTCTTTTCGTCTTGATATACTAAATCTACCTTAAATAAATACAATAAAATAATTTTAATTTATAATTACAACAATCTACAACAATTTATTTGTAGTTATATAGGATATATACCAGGGATAGCTAGCGATAAGTTGGGAGTCTAACAATATAATGAAAAATAATGTAAAGAACTGGAAAAATAATAATACCTATTATTAGATTAGTAAAAATATGAAGACAAGAGCCGCGGTTTGGCCACTCCAATGTTTTATTATGATCAGATTAATTAATATTTATAATTTTGGTTTTTACTTTTTTCTATCAAAAAAAAAAAAAAACAAAAAACAAACAATATATTTGATATAATATGTTTAATATAGTTGTACTTTAACATTGTTTTTTAAAATGTAAGATAAAATATTATGTAGAATGGATATAAGTAAGTTATTTCACTTTATCGCCTTAGTAAAATCAATAGGTATTTAATTATATTTTTTAATAAGTTATAATAAATCATCACATTCAGAAAATGGTTTTGAGCAGGGCTCTTAGACAAAAAACAGTCAATTATTTACAAAAGTAAGAGTGGTAAGTTAAAGATTTTCCATTTTATTTATTTTGTAACTCTTACACAGATAAATAACAAACATAACATGTATAAAGAACATTCTATGTTAAATACCTATCTGATTTATTACAAAGAAACATAAAAAAATATTTGAACTAGTTACCTGAGTAATAAGAACCTTGAGGGTTTGGCAAATGAGCTATTCTCATTGAACGTTTAACAGGTTCTCTGAAAAAAATAAATATAAATTAGGAAATAAACATTAACATTTGAATAATAGTATAATATAATTAATATTTAAAACTTACATGGCTGCAGGTTTAGGTTCATTTTTTTTAACAAGTGGCTTTTTTTTTAAGCAATCTGCTAATGTCTTAGCAGCCTGGTTTACTCCCAGTATACTGAAAAATTTACAAAACGCTTAAATGCATATTTATAATATTTTATTAATTTACCTAGGTATACCTATTTTCTGCGTGATTCAACAAGTATGTCAACACACATTTTTTCCTTAAGGTAATAATGAATTTTCTGATTTTTGGAATTTTTGAGTACCTATACTCAATGACCATTATAAATATCTTCAAACATTTAGATTTTTATAACATTTAAGGAGTATTATGTAGGGATATAGAGTATAGACATTAAAAAAAATGTAGCGTGTATTTCTACATTTCTACATGACATTCCATATAGTACACAAGTATATTATTTTTGGCTAATAGTCATTATTTTAAGAATGCAATGTTAAGTAAGTTATATAAATGTAGGTAATAATGTAGGTATATCGTATTCATACAATATTTAATCCATTAATCCGTGTACGATGCTTAGTTTGTGATGGTATCTTAACAGAAAGTTTTTTTCAAGATAACGTTGTTATCCCTACACTTAACCCTCAACCTGGAGAACTAAACCTGTTGCCTATTGCTATACAACTTAAAATCAGTGTGGGATTAATGAAACACACTTTACAGTGCACCTCTTCCCTAGGCCTGCAGAAGAGGCGCAAAGTTGTGATGGTGACAAAATCTCTTTTAGAGTAGTAAAAGCCAGTAGAAGAAAAAGAAGAATATTATGTAATAAAAATGTTCGATGATATGTTGGCTCTGCTTAACTTTAAACAGTAGTATTTGCAACCATTATATAATATAACAACCTATTTAATAGTGCATAGTATACTTGTATCAGCATGTGATGACACTGTCTATCGCAAAAGTAATGGTAAACAAGCAGTGCCGAGACTTGGTACATATTGGTGGGTGTGTGGCCAAATATATAGGGCACATGTACAGAGGCACAACTATGGGGAAAGGGGAGGGGGGCTATAGCCCCTCCTTACTACTATTCAGACCCCTCCAAAAAATATTCCTTGTTTATTTAGATATAAGCCGCTAATAGGTTATTTTTAATTAATAGTTTTGTTAAGTAGGCTGTTGCCCCCCCTCCCCCACCCCGAGTTTTGACCTTAGTTGCGACTATTCTAATGTACCAATAGGTCATTAAATACATATTACTTGTTGTTTATAGCTATACACATTATATATATGATACTCCAAGTATCAAAGTGTTAAGCAAAATAATTTAAAGAAAAAATAACTCACTCAAACATTTCTTCATTTTTTTTGATACGTTTTGCTCTTAGTTGTTCATATGTCAAAGTTTCGTCTTCGTCAGACATATTATTTTCATCCATTTTGGGAGGCCGCGGTATGCGCCCTAGATCTGGTATATCTACGAACGATCAAATGCAAAATATCGAAGTTTATATTACGTAGCAAGGTGGATTTGAAAAATGAGTCACATAGGTAGGTATTAACAGATTCAAAATTATACTGACTACTACTATTGGAGTTAATAAATTGCCAATGCTACTACATAATAATATCTACATTCTTGAAAGATCGGATAATTTATATATTTTCATATTCATCAATTTTATCGATATTATAATTATTATTTATAGCAACAGCAAGAACTTTGAGAGCTTTAAAAATATAAAAAAGTAATAATAATAATAAACAATTAATCTGCGATTATTGGCTACATCTAAAAATGTTTCAAAAACTAAATGCAGTGTTCCCAACACGTCCGTAAAACACCGTTCAGCCGGCTCACACTGATAGCAACATACTCGCTATCATAGAACATGGACTATGATAGAACCACATAGAACCTTAGATCATATTATTATTATATTATATGATCTAATTTTGACAATATTATAATATTTACAAATTTCAGTTTTCACAACATTTTTGTTCAAACATATATGCAGTGGCGTCCGCTGGGGGGAGGGGGGCTAAAGGGCTAAAGCCCCCCCCCCCATTACCCGTATTATTATTACTTTTTCAAAAAAATATTAATCAAGTTAAACTGTCAACTATAGTAAACAAGACGTAAATTTCAAATATGTCTTACCAGAATGAATTCATTTTTGAAAAAACATTGTATTTGTAACATACCAATTTTCATATATTATCTGTAATTTTTCGGTAAAAGTATGAACTATTTGTATGAAAGACCTTGTATTAAATTGTCTAGCCTTAGCTATACACATTTAATATTTTATAAGTTTTGAACTACAAATTTACTGTGGTTTTGACGAAATTTGAACTTTAAATGCTTATAAAAAATAGGCATGATGCCTATGTATCGTTAATATTTTAGCTATAGTAAAAAACTTACGTATTACATTTTTAAGCTTTTAGAACAGGATAAATAATTTTTTATTGACATTTATAAAAAAAAAAAATTTAATTATTCAAATACAATCCAAGTGAAGACGGTATAACCAAACATTTAAATAAATTTTCATTTTTTTTTCTCAAATTATTTTTAAAAGCATTGAGCATTTTCAATTTCAACCTCCTAATAGTACCAACTAGATCCAATTTGCTTCCAAAAACATACACTGAGCATCGAAGCTTATGATCAGAGCATTTTTCTACCAGAAAAGTTGAAAAGTTACAAACATTTTGAAATACCTCAAATAAACGTCTGAAATTATTAGACTGGACAAAATGAAAAGAAAATTGTAACTAATTTTCAAGCCCTCCCCCCCCCCCCCATTGGAAAATACTGCGGACGCCACTGCATATATGCATTGAGGAAATTAATATTTCTAAAAAATTCTTCGACCGTTCTTTAGAGGACGTGTTAGTAATTGATAGGGTTGTTACAGAATCAAAATCGCACCAACCTAAGTCTCACAATTTTGTCACAGCCGAGTATGTTTTTACTCGAAAAGTAACTATGTATACATTTTTATAATTTAATATATGAACATGTGACACCGAGTGCGAGAACGCCGGTTCTTAGAATGTGGATCAGGGACTGCAGGAACCTTACCGAAAAGAACCGGTTTTGGAACCGGAACCCTTTGAATATTGGAAACCGAAACCTTACAGGAACCCTTATTTAAATTAATTTAAAAACCGGAACCGATACTTTTACTTGAAATTTTTTTTTAAATAAGTATAAAACTAGAACAGGCAACAATTTTTTTATTTTTCAAGAACCGAACCGGAACCGAAATTTTAGTTATTCTGGGACCAGAACAGGAACCGGAACCGGAACCGTAAAAATCATCAAGGTTCCAGTACCTGATGCGTTGACATACACTGCAGTGTATGCGCATTTCGCCCTTACACTAATCAGGGATGGATCCAGGGGGGGCTAGGGGCCCAGGCCCGCCCTGCAAGACATAATTTTTTATATATATAAATATCTAAACTTCTTTTCTCATTGTCACTTTAAATATTAAATAATCAATAATCTATTTATCACATTGATTACCTATAACAGTATAACTACTATTATGACACAATTTTTAATAAAGTACCTACCTATATAATATCTTATTATAATTGTACCTATTTGTGTTGTAAAAAAATTGTTGCCAGATCTTTGCTCTGGATCCGTGCCTGACACCAATGATTTTACAGTCTCACACACATTGACATGGCCTGGTAGTACTTGCCACACAATTATTTTCCAAAATTGTTACTCCTTTGAAAATAATCGATTGGAACCATCTTGATAAAATGTACACAGGACGTTTCGAATTAGATAATATTATTATAAAGTGTTCGAAAGTGTTAGATACATAGGCGCCAGGTTTCAAAAAACTTAATGGGTGCCTTGGTATCATTGGTATCATACTAACATAGGCATAAATACATAATTTTGAGGGAGGGGGCTTAGTCACTGGTCAAGAATAATTTTCCCGTAAAATTAAAAAAATGGAATTGTCTTTTCAGGTTAGGCTAGTTGCAATTTGACCCCCTAAAATTTTAATTTTGGCTCTCCAAATTTCGCCTATAGGTGTCATGATTCTACTACTTCACCAAAAACGTTTGCATTTTCTTATGGATTTTTTTGGTGCATACAAATATTAAATTATAATATATACCATGTTGTACACTGAAATATGCGATCATCATTGATTATAAAATATATTAATTATACAACAAAATAAATGTATACCAAATTGGGAACTTATTTATAAATAATAATAATAAGTAAAACAAAAAATAAAATAAATTTAATTTGACTGTTCAGAAAATAAATATGCTTTGACGTACCTACCTATTATTATAATTGAATTTATAAATGAGTTAGCTCTTAGCTATCAATGTCTATGCTAAAATTGTCAAAACTTGGATATAAATACACTCTATACATTTTCAATATTCTAATGGGTGCCCGGCACCCCATAATAATTTTAATGGGTGCTTGAGCCCCCGGGCACCCATGTACCTGGCGCCTATGGTTAGATACTTAGATTTATATGTAACAACAAACAATTCACTATCAGACCAATTGATTTGTACCATTTATATCCATTATGTAGTCATAGATCTACCTCGGGAACTTTCATTTCACAGTACCACACGCGGTTACTGTGATATTTTCAATTTTGGTAATCGGTGATGGCCGTAGCGGTAGAAACTTTCATGCCAGCTTTTTGTTTGTTTTCGTCAGAAGATAGCGCTCCTCTTATGGTTTTTAAATTTATTAAATTGATTTCATACAATATTCCCAATTCCGTTGTGTGACTGTTATTTGTTTTTTTCTCGAGGTGCACACAAATAGACGGTTGAAACAAATTCAAAATGTGACCAAAAGATGTATATAATATAATAACTATACATCATAAATATGGTAGTTTGGCTTTTTTTCGGTAGATATGCGTGATGAAAATGTGGCTGTAAAAGTCATCACATTTTTTTTGTAAAAACATTTTTGTTTGTTGTTACAATTGTTAACCAATAGTTATTTCAAAGGCAGGTAAATGTTAGGTGCATGAGAGCGAATTCGGAATTTTGCTTTTTAATACTAATATCATAATTATTGGATGGCAATCAAAATGAACCAGAACCCTTTAAAAATATTGGATTTTTATTCTATAGAATCTTTGTATAAATATTTTAGAATCCTAATCTGCAAGAATCTATACTTTAAGAGTACTTAATACAGACCTTTTCCATGTCAATAATTTTTATGGTATTGATTTGTTACTTTTTAATAACTGCGTATAAAATATAATGGAATGGAACCAAAGTTTTTTCTAGGAACCAAAATTGAAATCAAAACCCAAAAAATCACTGGGTCATAGAGACGTAGATATAGTATATACCTAGCCCGACCTAGGTACTAAACTAATTTTAAATTTTTCTAAATTGTATTTCAAATTTCTAAAATACCAAAAATTTGTGCTACAACAGACCTTATTATAAAATATAAGTGTTGTGAAATGTAACAAGGATGTTGGGACTGATTTATATTCGAAGTTTTTCGTGTTGTTCAGTTCAAAATTTGAGAATGATTACCTCATGTCAGATGCGTTATTGAGTGAAATTGAAAACGCTTTTTACGCTTTGGAAATGCGGGACGCATAATAAGGGTATACTGGTGTTACCTATATCGTTCAGTATTATAACTTTGTTGCAATACCAATAACACCTACACCGCTACAACGAGAATCGTCGTCCCACCAAAAATATTTTACTCATTTTTTGAGAATTTAAAAACAAATAAATCTGGGGTGGGAATTCATATTTGATCATAAGAGCTGCAGCTATTAAGGATTTATTGTTTATAGTTTTTTAATAATACCTTATGTTCAGTGCGTGATTATTCGGACATATCAAAATATAATTTTTTGTCGGTAAGATTAAATAAAAATAAAATTGAACGGTTGAGTACCACCACGTTATAGTACCCTTAAAAATCCTGCATTTTTAAAACGTAAAATAAGTTTTCAATTCCGGTCTGCTGACATGTGATCATTCTCAAAGTCACTACGGAAAAACCTATAGAACACCCCTCGTATAGTTTCGCATACAGTCTGTTATCGCAGGCACACGAGCGTGGTCACTCAAACGATATTCGGTTTGGGCATGTTTAATAATATTTATGAACCTGTGTATATAATATTAATGTATTATGTGTACCCATATAATATATCGTAACATTATTTATACTGTTATTCCGAATTTTGAATTCGTTGTTTTTAACGATTTATTTTTATAACTGTGCACGCGCGTTGCACCTATTTGCATTATAATAATATCATGATTCACGACTAATATACCTCCGCCGCGAGTCTCTGTATAATAATAATATTGATGATGATAATAATAATAATAATAATAATATAATATTAGGTAATATTGTTTTGCTTTTGACTGG